ATTTATTGGTGGTCATACTAGGATGTCATACTTATATGACCAATAAGAAGTGTTCGTATTGGTGGTCATATTTAGTTAGCATTAACTGCCGCGACATCGAATTTCAACGACTTGCTGTGACCGTGTTTATAAGGCTAATTGCAACCGTTCACCTCTCGTTCTATTCAGAAAGATCCAGTCTTTTGTACAATGTTGCCACATTTGAAAAAAGAACCCCTAGCGATCAACAAATCAAAACGGAACTTATTTTTAACCGACTTCAAAAAAGGAGGAGGTTCTCAATTCGACTGTATGTTCCTTTTTATATGTATGTTACGCGATAACTCCGGTATTTGTGAACCGATTTTCACGATTCTTTTTTTGTTGGAAAGGGGGTACTTCCATAGCGGTCCCATTTCATTTTGAAGAAAATCATCCACCTTTAAGGGTGGCTGTTCACGCATGAAGATTCATTTTTATAAATAGCGCCTAACTTTAATTTAGGAGCAATTATTTTAATGGTTGATTTTGCTGTTTCTCCAATTCAAGGCGTTTTTCTCTCAATATACTTTGAGTAGTGAGAACCGATTATTATTATCTCCAGTGTCCAGTCCTGTATAGTGGTGAACTAGAGGATATTTCAATAAAACTTAGCAAATAGACGTAATGCCACGTACTTTTAAGGTCGGCTTTTTTAGTACTCTGTACTGAGATTATTTGGATGACGCTCGTACACAAGGGCAGTTGACATTTCACGGAGTTTATCGAGAAGATTACTGTTTACTTTATAATTATTTTTATTTAACTGGTTCACTTGCTGTTACTATGACACAAAGTCAATTAAATGCTTCCGCTAATATATTTTCAATACATTCCAAGGTTTAACGATCATAAAGAACTTATCACACTGACGATATTGCCATTACACATTCGACTGTGTTTTCAAATATTATGTAAACCCGCCGCGATCCGCTAAGTTGCAACGTCATTTACCCCCAAATGTTGCAACTTGAACTATAGACAACAACAAAAAGGACCGAGAAGTACACAACGTGTTTTATTGTTTAACGAACTAGTCTCACCAAAAACCACTGGGAAAACCAAATTACAACACAAAAGTTTAATATATCGAAAAATATTTATTCTCATATCTAGATACTTAAAATTGGACTTAAATATACATATTTCAATATTGTATACAAAGTACGTAATGAAATAGTTAATCCCTATACAATTAACTAGAACAAACTTGAAGAGAAATAAAATTTCGCTTAATCATCCATCAGCAGTTGATCCTCAACATCAATGTCTTCCGCTTTCCGCTTCTTCGCGCGCGGGCGCTTGCCGTGTAACATTTCCAGTTTAATCTTTTTAGCTTGTTTTTTCTTTTCTTTTAATTGAAGTTTTCTCTTTGCCGCTTTCTCTGGATTGTGCACCTTTTCTTGTAGAAGTATCTGTGAATTACAGTTATAAATAGGTAATATTCCTATATAATAATCAATTTCGTAACTGATTGTGTAATAGCTGAAATGTTTTTTCTACTCCTGCACTTTAATCCGTCAAATATAATTCCATAAATCATATCATAAAGGGGCTCTTTTTAGTTCTGAATAAAAATTTTATTGTCTATGGTACTCGCCACTGAGCTGAACAATTTCATTAAAATTCTGTACATAGAACGAAACGAACGAAAGAGGGTCAATGGATTTCTCTGGACCTTTTGGAAGGAAAAGTGTCGTTTTTATTTTGACTTTCAATTATTTTGTGAAATCTAGTTCAAAGTGGAATAGGATAGTGTTATTGTGCCTTAATCGAAGATTAAAATCCGAAATTATACGAATCTCGAACTAGAATACCCGTATTGGCCCGTTTTAAGGAATCCCCAGTCAATCCAACCACGCCGCCTCAAATTGCCTATCCTCTTTGTGGCGGCCATATTTACAGAAACATAATTTACAAAGTACAACCAAAATGAAGAAAAGAAAATGAAGAATAGGCTGTATAGCATTATGCCAAGCCGTTAAAACTCTACTTAAAAAAGAAAGAGTTTCAAAAAAACAACGACGTATTTTTTTCCTTTATTTTTCCCATCTAAGATTTTTAATTAAAATATCAATTAGGACGCTACTCAAACGCTATACCGCCTGCTGATCAGTTAAATTGGCCTAAAAGTCTTGCAACTGGGCCATAAATGTTTATAAAAAAATTATTGTTTAAAATATATGCACTCATTGCGGTACTTGACCAGTTCTATTGTATGTCCTTGGTTTTTTGTTTTGTAGCGTTTGTTTGGCTGTCGTTTAAATCTATGAAAAAGCTATATGTATGTCCATGGCACCCGCGATACAGTGTTTCCCTAGTGTGCGGTTATGAGTGTGTGCGTTATTATTATTCCAGCGTGCCGGTTTTGAAGGATAACGGTGTCGGAGGAATCACAGGCGCATGGGACTGTCAACTTTAGGTATATGCCACGGTGATGGGCGGCAGTGTCAACCAGATTTTGCCATTTAAAGCTCTGAGTAGCACTGCAACTGTTAGGCTAGGTGTGGTCTTTTACCACCACGCGCATGATTTGTTTGTTTCGTCACTTTATAACATAAAAAGAAACCTAATAGCATACCTTCTTTCTCTCTGCACGTTTAACATTAAGTTTGGTTTGAACTTCAGCGACAAGTTTGCTATATTCTATATCTCCTATCTTCCGCCTCAGCTTCTTTCCCAGCCTATTAGCTAGCTGCTTAGCGACAGACGCAGGCGCCATCGCGTCGCCAGTGGATAGTTCTCGAACTATCGGTGGAAGGATCACGTCGATTATTCGAAGGAGGTCTGTACTTTCCAGTGAGCTTATGAAGTGTTGCCACATTGTGAAGATTGCTGTTCGCTGAAATAAGTAAAAATATGTTTGTTTATTAACGCAACCAATAGTATGAGATTATATTTTGTGTTTTAAATAAATGAACACAGAATTTTGTATTTACAACGCATCTCTTTTTTATAACATCAAGTGACGGGACGAACAAGTCGTGCACCTGATGGTTAGCTACACGCCTGTCCATAACAGTTGCAGTGCAACTAAGAGCTTTAAATTGCAAAGATCTGGGGCACTGCCACTGCGCCCGTCACTCTGAGAGTCGTTTTCCAGAACTCTACTCAATGCTCAAGTTAGGACTTGAGTATGATTTAAAGCACTGAAAATCATACTCGAGACCTTGCCATTAGGGTCGTATTTCCAGTGCTTGAAATCATACTCAAGCCTGCTCAAGTCCTAACTTGAGCTTTGAGTAGAGTTCTGGAATACGACCCTAAGACTTGAGTTGACAAGTCCCTGCACATGGGTTGTCAACTTATTTTTCACAAAACACTTCAAAGACGGAACACAGTAATGCTTGTGCATGTACTGCTTGGCGGCAGAAATAGGTAAGGTGGCAGTACAACCCTGGACGACTGGACCTGGTACATTTTTACTTTTTTCTGGTTGTCATAGTGATGGTGACTTGTTGATTACATGTCAATACATGTAAACGAACCCAGAACAGCAACGTCGGCATCAGGGTCACGTCGAGAGTATACCCTTTCAAACAAGAAAATTATTTTCAAAATCGGTCCAATTGATGGAGAAATAGGAAAACATACCTACATACAGCCGAACGTTCTCCTTCTTTTTTTTTAAGTCGGTTAAAAAATACTAAGTCGCGTGCACCTGCTAGTAATGCATAAACTTAGTCGGAGTTGTACGCAAACTTTTTAAACACATTTCTACTCTAATGAGCTCATATAAATAAGATAATAACAATTTTATGTTATTAAAAAGGATATATCTGTAAATAATACTTACAATATGCATAGAACTAGGTGCTCTCGCCACTTCAACATTGACAGCTTTGCGCAATTTGAACAAAATCCATCGAATATTCACTTTCGCTGTGACGTCAGTCTCTTCGGTATCCGATGTTGTTTTCTTCGATAGCTTGAAGCTCGATAGAGAATGAACTAGCGTTAATATTTGAAATATGATTCTTGTGACCTGGAATTTATAATATCGTTATCGTACTGAGAAAAGTAACCATACATCGATTTAAACTTGCACGAGTTTCACACATTATTCGATTTTCAAAAATCGGGACAATCGCGTATAAATCTCTCCTTTTTTCTTGCAATGTTGCCCGCTTATGACCTTTGTTCTCACAGCCTTGGATCTTTTAGAGATAAGTCGACCTTTGGTCACCTTATCTATAATTAAATTTTCTGATGTATTTTTTGGTGCAATAACGAATATACGACAAATATAGTATTTTAATTTGCAATATTTGCATAATGAGGGCTCTTAAAGTGGACTACCGTGTTTAGTCCATGAAATTTTGCCGAGTGGCCTAAAGTAATAGGTACGAGATTTTAAGAGCTAATTATGTAAGTATTGCATACAATACTTTTTAGTACGAGAAATAAAATAATGTAACACAATTAATATTTAATGTACATTTGTTAACAATCCATGACAATAAACTGATACGAAAGCCAAACAAATGCTACAAAACAAAAACCAAAGAGATAGAATAAAGGAGGCCAAGAACCACTTATATTTTAACCAATTTTTTTAAAGGTTAATGGCCCGGTTGCAAGAACTTCAGGCCAATTTAACCAATGAGGAGGCATATTAGGATCATATTTTATATTTTAATTAGCAAAAGTACGACGTTCTTTTTTAATTTTTCAGTTCAGTGGCGAGTACCATACACAACAGAGTTCTAGTTCAGAACTAAAGAGAGCGCCTATAAGATATGGTTTATGAAAAATACAATTGACAGATTAAAGTACAGGAACAGAAAAAATATATTTTACTTCCCTTTACGTTTCGAACAACAACAACCATGGTCTCGAAGGGACAGGGAGGTAAATGAAATATATTAGAATATACGAAATTAAATCCAGATTTAAAAAAATCAAATATGTGAAAATTGTGAAAGTTTAAATCAATGTATTGTATAAATATATTCGAGACCATGGACGTTGCAACACGTCCGAAATATTAAGGCAAATAAAATATATTTTTGGGCGATTAAGTCTCGATTTTTTTAAATCAAATAACGAGTAATCATGTCTTGCTCATAGTAGAGTTGTCTACGTCATAGATTTAGATGACCAGAGGCTCGAGACTCGTGGTAGCCAAATGTTTTTTTTTTACGAAATTTCTCATTATCATCGACTCTTTACGCACCTCACCACTGGGCACGGGTCTCTACTGAGAAGTAGACCAATGAATGTTGTGAACCTTCTTATGTACATGTTTCAACGCGATGGCATCCTTCTGAGTTAACGAGAGTTATTGCTACTAAATCATAATTACACGCTACTATAGGTATTCGAAACATAGACCTCAGAATCGAGAAACAAGCATTGTCCCATTATGCTTCCACCGCATTCAAATAAATACTACCGACATTTTGATTACATATTATAAATATGATTAACTATTAGTGCGGGTTATGTTAAGTGTGCACCGCATTCAAATAAATACTACCGACATTTTGATTACATATTATAAATATGATTAACTATTAGTGCGGGTTATGTTAAGTTTGTGAGTGTGTGCGTATGAGTGTGCACGTGCGCGTGCGCGTGCTTGTGCACGAAAACATACCTGTTCGGCCATTTCTTTAGTAACACTAGGCGTAAATTGTGCGCACAAGTCCAAAACAAGAGCTTTCAAAGTGTCCTCAGTTTCGTAATAAATAAACCCTCTATCACTCTCAGTCTCTTGTTTTAAAACCATATTTAACTCTTCTACATCAATTGCCGATAGAACTGCTCCAATTATTTTCGCCGCTCCCAGTCTCACCCACAAGTGAGGATACGCCAATAACGCTTGACATTGCTGGGCTATTTCATCGAATTCGTTTACATATTTTTTGCTTTTCAAACTAGACGAGCAATGTGTTACAATCTTATCGATGAAATTCAATGTTTGAATTAGACTGTGGTCCTTTTCCTTTTGTTTTTCGTCATCATTCTTGTCATCGCCTTGATCCAGTTTTATTTTAACGAACCTGCCTTCTGTAATGTCGCTGCTGAGAAGTGAAATTTTGCTGCAAACTAGAGACAGTGTGGAATCAAGACGGTTCTTAAATTCGTCTTCTTCGACGTTGACGAAACGAATTGCTAATTGTGCTGCAAGTTCGATATGCACCGGCTGCGAGACAAAGAATAAATTACATTAAGGCGTGTTTATTGCTAACTTATATACAGTATCCGTTGTCGTGATGGCCTGAAGATAGAGTATCATGAAGCAGGAACTATGCCGTAGCCAAATTCGATGTAGAATCAATGTCCACCAAAAAAAAAAAAACAAGCAACAGACTTTAGGTTTTCATCTCACAATGTTATACAGTTACCATAATTTCAATTCTTTTTTTGTTTTTTTTTTAGCATCAGACAGAAGGAAATTTTGAATCTATTATCATTCTTGTCTGAAGATAAAGGTTTGTTATCACTGCTTCTTTACAGTTTTTGTATTTCTAAAAATAACGATATGTTTAAACAATTTAGATACCTGATTGTCCTGGAAGAACTTGAAAATCAACGTAAACAGCTTATTCCTCTCGAGTAGAGGCAATCTCTTAATCATTAACTCAATGCAGGTGGCAGCGGCCACGCGACATTCAGGTGCGCTGTCGTTCACCATACAAGCGCCTAGAGACAGGAATAGGAAGTCTGCTTGTTTCGATAATTGTTGCTGGAAATGTGAAATATAAAAAAAATATAATGATTATTCTCTTTCTCAAATTGGTATGTGCGCCAATATAATGTATTATTTAATTTGTAATATAATTATCTAATAGCCAATTACACAAAACAAATTTTCAAAAAGGTTATTTTTCTGGTTTTGACGGTTTTGGTTTCTGTTTAATTGAGCAGCAAGTATGTAGAGTAGCTCATACCCTTGAAACTTGCTTTAGTAGTTGCCATAGTGGTATTTATATAGAGTGATAGCTCCAGCTGCCTATTTACATAGCTACATAGTGGTAGTTACATAATCTCGCCTAACTACACATTTATAGGTTCTTTTTCATCAATGTAGAATTTTGGTAGAAATATATTATAGACTTGAAATATAATGTTAAATTTTTGTTTTCAAATAACGCAAAATCCAAAAATTCGTATGTTTAGGAAATGAAACAATTTTTTTGGATCCAAATCGCATACATTAGTTTTTTCAAACCAAAACGCTTCGGGCCGTTTAAAGGTCCCATGGTCATGGACGACTGGGACCATGGGACCTATAAAGGACCCAAAACGTTGTTTTGTTTGAAAAAAAAAACAAATTAGATTCGAAAAAATAGTTTCAGTTCCTATGTGTAACAATCGCTAAAACCTAAGAACTCGATTCGTATTCCATTAATGGTAAAAGCAAAGTTTTTGCTGAGAAATAAAGATTTTCACGTTTTTAACCTAGAAATAAAAATCGTGTTAAATGGTGATATCACATGCATTAATTTTATTCGTTGACAGTGAGGGATATGCATTCGCATAAGGGCTCGTGCAGGGTGCCGTCGATATTTCGCGAACAAGTCTTGTTTTAAGATGTAGAACTAAAAGGCTTAGTGCAGCTAGCCCGCGACTGGCGACCATTGGTCGTGAGACTTGTAGCGATCAGTCGTCGCAAGTCGCTTGCGACCATTATTGCCAGTTGTGAAGTTAATTCGCCAATTTATGTATGTTAAGTAGCCTATATTCGTCCAAGCTATAAAATCCTTAAAAATCAAGAAAAAACAAGAAAAAATCAAACAATTCTACAATTCAATTCATCCCCACAAAATCCCCAATAAAATTTGTAATTTCCCAGACATTTTATTAAGTAGCCTAAATTCGCCTTTTCCTATTTCAAACATAGCCTAAATATCGCCGAGTCGCCCACCACTTTTTTAGTCGCCGCGACCCTTCCGAGTAGCCTTAATGGCACAAAATCGCGTCATCTGGCAACAGTGCTTGCGACTACTACTAGATGATCAATTAGGTTAACTGATGCAGTTCGTAATCGCTACAGAATATTAATTGGATGAATATTAAATATTCTTCTTCATATCCTTCCTATGGCACGGACACGTAAAACAGAATTTTCCAACAAAAAAGTTGCTGATACTATATCCATTTTTCCCTGTAGATACGACAATTATTCGAAAATTCACTTAGCTATCGGCCGGTCGCCGGTACTGTTACGTCGCTAGTCGCCCGCATGCTGCGCTGTATTTCGTCGCTATAAGTCGTTGCGAGTCGATGCGACCGCAGTTTCGACATATCGCCGGCACTCTGCACGAGCCCTAACCCTCAGTTGCTATTTGGTATGTCATAGAACCCACTACTATTTTATTACTCGTGAACTATAATAAAATGATATCAATTTTATTACAAATGATACAGAATTGAAAATTCAACAAAATAAAAGTCAAAGATCATTTATTCCATAGGTAAAATAAATTTACACTTGAAAACATTACATTTAAGCTACTGCTCGTTCACTACGCTGACTTCCCTGAGAAGAACGAGCAAGAAACTCTAGGGATAGCTCTTTTCAAATAAACTTAAATGCTATGGAATACACTTTGAATCAAATTTGTGTGGATTCTGGAGCCATGTCGTCTTTCCATACATCTTTATCTAACACGTAGTCTTCAATTTTGTAATATGATTTTTCGATCAAAATATTTTTAATGTAGTTTTTAAACTTAGGAAATTTTAAACTTAATATATGCTCCGGAATCTTATTGTAAAAACGTATACAGTTCCCCATAAAAGAGTTGTTTACCTTGGTTAAACGAAATCGTGGTACCATGAGTTTGGACTTAGCTCTAAGGTTAATATTATGGACATCTTCTTTCTTATTGAAATTATGTATATTTTTACGGGCGTATAGAATATTTGAGCAAATGTACTGTGACGCCACAGTCATGATACCAGTCTCCTTAAACTTTTCTCTGAGAGAAACCCGAGAGCCTAGACGGTACACAGAACGAATCGCTCGTTTTTGCAATACAAATATGGTTTGAATATCTACCGAAAGAAAAATTAACCGGTGACAACTCAAGGTTAAGGTTTTTTAAGAATATACATCTTAGACTTCACCCAGAGTTGTTATATAGATGTAATGAAGATATCTAGCAGGATATTTCGCAGAAAGCAGGCCAGTAACTTAGCTGATTGACATTGATTATACAGGTTATTTGCAAAATACTAACAACCTCTGAGGACTATATTACTAAGTTACTAACACCACAAACAAACAACTTTTGTTCCACGACTTTTTACAAAACATAAAGTATGAAAACATAATAAATTTACTACCCTAACGCTCCCCCAGGACTCTTCAGTGCCCACTGGGCGGCGGCGGCGGTAGGGACCTCTTTGGGAAACTACGACTTAGAGCGATCTATTTAAATAATTTTATTTTTGTACGAAAGTAAAACCTGATGAATTGAAGAGTCCAGGGAAAGTATGATCAAAGTCACTTGAGGAGAATTTTAGTACAAAAGAATTTTTAATTTGGAGAACATTTAGATGTTGGTAAAAAAGACAGGCATAAATTTTAATACTACCTGAAATAAAGTAAATGCTGGCGTAAATGTATGTACTGCTATCTATTTTTACTATAAAACATTTAAAAATCTATTTTCACTTTTTTATTATTTAGTTGCAAACATTTTTATGACCAAAAGTAAAAGCTAATTTTTCACCGACGTCAAACCTTATTAGCCTTTTTCTGTTCTATGCAAAATACGCTCAGCGTTTACCGAACTAGATGACGATATTAACTCTAAACGTGTTTTAAATTACTTTGATCATTCTTTCCCTGGTTCTCCTCTTCAATTGTTAAGTCATGGAAAAAAGTTGTTAAGTGTATTTTACAAATGACCCCGTGTAACGAACAAGCTATATATTTTTTATAACATATTGTTTTTGTTTTTTTTATTTTCACGGTTATCATTTCAGGCACTGACAAGATAATTAAAATTGCCAATTTAAATGTCGTGTGAATTTTCAAATCTCGAGGTACACAAGTTCTTTGTTTGGTCAAGAGTGACGTGTTCATAAAACGGATTAACAAAAAATACTCTATTAGCCTGTAAATTGTTAACTATTATATGAGAAAAGTAAACTTACCGTAGCAGCCTTGTTAATGATCATTTCCAAGAACTTAAGTGAGGACTCCCGTCCGTGCTGTAGTTCATAGTTAAGTTGCGACACGAAGAATTGCAGGTATTTGTCCATGCGCTTACCTGGCGAGTAGTTCGTCAGGTAGGACACGAATATACCGCGGGCTTCTTCTCTACAATACATAAAATATAATTATTTGTACTGTCTGTTTTAACGTAGTCTTATTTTTACTAAATTGGCTAGGTGCCATCAATATTTAGCTACTCACTCATTTTGATATATATCACGTTTTTAATATAGTTAAATTAATTTTTTTATCGTTGTCTTTATCAAGAGTGTAGTGGTAGCCAAGTGGCACAACGATTGCTTCTCAATTTCCAATACTGAATAATGTTATTGCTCTCCGAAGTAAAATCGATGTTAGAACCATTTTTAGTACATTATGTGGCATATTTTTTTATGACAACAAGTGACGGGACCAACAAGTCGTGCGCCTGTTTTGGTGAAGTCAGCCAGATGAGTGGAAAAAGATAATAGAAAAAAATATTAAAAACAGAAAAAACTACCTGGATCTTGCAGATTCACTCAATATACATATTCTAGAAACATTCTCCATTACTTCGTGCAATTCATTGGACACCAATTTTGCCTCCAATATAGCTTTCAACAAAGAAAACGAATTCGCTTGTTTCTCATCGCTCTGGCAGTCTTGTTCGGCGTAGAGCAAGAGCGTTTTTAGCTGGTCAGCCTCCAGAGAATAATATTTTACGTTACGAATAAGGGCTGTCACTGCCTGAAAACAACATGTTAGCTTTAAGATATTTTCCTACGGCGACGGCTTAATAGAATACAATTATTTATTTCAGGCATAGTATATAATTTGTTAGTAACATTTTCATTTAGAATAGGTTCGTATACAGAACACAATGACACAACATCACATAATATTTATTTAATATATATAAAAACAGATTTTATTTGCCCAACCCGTACTAGGTTGTGCTAATCAAATCTAAAGTTGGACACAGGACTGTTGAAATTTAGAATTGGACAATCAAATTGCCAGCAACTATTGTTAGGATGCTGTTGTGGCTACTTCTGACATGAGTCATAAGCGATAATATTTTCTTCCGCATTATCGCTTGGAAGCCGTCTTTAAGGGGAAATAGAGGAACCCGTGATCATGTAAGGCATATCTATTCAAATTCATAATAATCCTTGGTTCTAATATAATCCTTTAAAATATGACAACTGACAAACCGGAAGCAGCACAACGAAATAATATAAAAAAACGGTAACGAATTTTACAAACAAGCCCAATATTTTAATGCTGCATGCTGTGTGTGCTACATGCTGTGGTTTAAAGAACATTTCTGAAAGTCACGGAAAATGTGGCTAATTTCCATATTATGCGAAATATCAACACATTAAAAAAATGTATCTTACCTTAAAAGCATTCCTTACTAAATTGTAATTATCATTCTGTTTGCTAATCTCAAACGTTGCATACTTATGCAGTATCGAGAATATAGTCTTTACAACATCTGCGACCATTTCTTCCAACAACGGCGTACTAACTCTAATAGTCCAAAGCGTCGCAATACATTTCATAGCTACTGTTGTCACTTTCACATGGTTACTCTTCAACGCGTCAACTAATAATGGTACTAAAGGGTCTACAAACGCCCTACAATCCATTCTCGGTACTTTTTCTCTTTTCAAAATAACGTACAAAATATTTAAACTAAATTCCACTAAGACGTGAGCGTTTGCTTTACTAGACGTTTTGACGTGTTTAGCTTGCACCTCTCTACTTCGCCCTGGAGCTTCGGGAATGATAAAACAATCTGGTTTAACCATTAGCATCTTTTCTTTTTGTTTTTCCGTAATGTCTCTTTTAGGTGCTCCCAACACAAACTCGGGTATGCTTTCAGACGCTATGCCATGTAGAAATATGAATAAAGACTCAATGTCGATAAATTTATTCGTAACTAGACCACTTGTTATATGCATGAGAGCTTCCTGGACTTTTAAAACCGTTTTCTTTGAATGATGATTCTGCAATGATTCTTTGAAGGGCAAGAGCAAGTTTATTAGGTACTTTTCTGTTATGTTTTGAGACACAATCATTAGTGTTACATAGCTCTTTTTACTTGGTTTCGCTTCCGGTGTTTTGTAGTGGAGTTTCTGTACTTCTTTTTCTTCCGACAAAGTTCCGAACAAATCACTAATGCATACGTTTAATATGTGGTGTAAATTATCATTCAAGTCACCAGCTTTAAATTCAGCTTTTAAAGCATCTAGTACAGTATGTATTGTCGCTACTAGAACATGTACTTGGAAGCCTCTTGTCAGTAATAAAGTCAAATGTTCTAATAGAATTCCCAAGTACTGAGGTCCAACAGTTAACATTATTTTCTTAACGATATCTCGGGCAGTTATCCTCACTTGTTTTAACGGCGACTTGAGGAAGGAACATAGTTTTATTATTATTCTGAAAACAAAAATACATCTTGCATCAAGTACCTAATTAAAAACAATCGCAAATTTCAATGATATAAACTAAGTTACAATTTCCAAAACTATACAATAGACTTACCCTGGTAACTGATATCTTAAAACATCTCCAGGCAATCTTTGCAATAATTTGACTAGAGCTAATGCAATGGGAACCCTCAGTAAATCTTCTTCCTGACGTTCTAGGCCTGTTCTTTTCCTATTTAATTTATGCGATTGTTCATGTTCCGTAATTTTACCTATAGTTCTGTAAAATAAATATTTTTAGCGCAATTTAATTAATAATAATGGCATAATATCACGGGAAAATAATACTACAGTATCATACCTGTTTAACTGAGGTAACAATCCAGCTGCTAACGATTTGATAATTCGTTTAGCAACTGATGGAGAGACAGTCGTAACTTTTTCAAATGCGGGCAAATCTGTTAGTTGTGTGCTTTGTTCTTCATTTGCCTTTTCAGAATCAGCTATTTTGAGCTCCTTGTCTATGTCTTGAAATGTTTCGTCGTTCTGTTCTTCTGTCCCATCGTTCAATACTGAATATTTGATAATCTCATCCATAGATTCTTCACCATTGTCGTTAGTTACTTTAGACGTTATTTTCACTTTCATGACATGTATATTAGTAGTCAAAGCTTTTGGAAGATCAATATTCTTTATTTTGGAAAAGTCGAAATGGAATGCGTCCAATATACCCACAATGATTCGAGTTAATTGTTTTTGATAGTCAGAAGAGTGCCTCATCTTGTTTAAGTATAGCTTCAAAATCACTTCATAATGATACCAAGGAAGCAATCTACAACAAGTGGAAACAACTTCTATGCACGCATCTATCAATGTGTTTTTGTCGGAATATTTGTCGTCACATAAATACATAAATGCTAGGGGAAGAATGAAATTTGTAAGTGTTCTTGGTGATGGGCACTTAGTAATCTTTTTAGCAACTTTGCAAAATTTCAAAAGAGCTCGAACGCGGCGATGCATCTGAAGATGACAAGAATTTTCGAAGAAATCAACTTCCCTATCTTCTTTATTTGTTAATGCCGCTAAATCTGACAAGACCACATCAGCATCAGGACATTCTCTTGCTAATTCACCCAATAGAGAAATGCTTTCATTTCTCAAAATATCGTTCTTTGTGTCTCTGATTCCAGTAGATATTAAAGCCAAAACAGTATCACGAACTAAAAATTGGCCATCATTGGTGGACCAATACTTCATAAGCCATTTTGGTAATATTCTTTTCAGGCACAAGCCTGCACTGTCTCGTAAACCCATGTCTTTTTCCGTTCTAATAAAAAAGAAGCAATTATTAACAATAAGAATAGCCAAATCCACATCAATTTCATTGTTTTCCGACAGTTGATAGATTTGTTTATAGGCGTCCAACCTTCTGTCGAAATCTGGTTGTTCAATCCACCTTTTGTTAAAAGCGTTCATTTCGGTTACTACATTAGCCATTCGTGACCAAATTTCTTTATTGTTAGAAGCATTTTCAGCTAAAGTGCTCAAAAGTTTTATTAGTAATTTCCTAACGTGCACAGGTCCTACTTTACTAAAAAGTACTGCAACGTGTTTAATATAAGCTTGTGGGTCTGTGCTATGTCCAAGTAAATTAATAATAGTAGTGACAGCATGTTCCATATTGTCTTCAGCCATGTTCATGCAAACTTTCTTTACTAAAATTGGCAATAACAAACTCAAGAGATCATCGCACATTTCTGGGTTAGCCACTAATTCTGTTACTCTTGATAAGATGAGAAGGTCTCTCTTGTTAACCGTGTTAGATTTGGCCGTGTTCGATATGCGACGTTTCATAACTTCTAAAATGCTAGCTATGTGGGAGACTAATATTTTGCTTCCAAAATTAATTTCATTACAATTGTCACTTTCCGTTTCGTTACAAACGTAATTAAAAGTTTGTAGGGCAACAATCTCTTTGTCTTCTTCATCTTCCGATAGTGTTAATAGCTTTTCTATCATATCTAAAATCATGTTGACAACTCCTGTGCTTGCTTTTGGTGCTAGCAATAATTTGAAAATTGCAGGAAGAGGACTGAGGGTCGAGTCTTTTTCTGAAGACGTAACTAATAAAATATAGTATCGGGGATTTTGACACCAAGAATTGAACAGTCTAAGCAAGGCCGTTGGAGTGTGTATACCTTCAATATGCAGTTTGGGTATTAAAGGCCATAATAAAGTTTCAAAGACTAGTCTTAACTCGTCCCTGGTCCAAGGATATTTGTCAAACTGATCAAATAACTTTCTTACAGTACTCAACGCCATAACTCGAATGTTCTTCATAACTTTCACATAGCCAATGTGTACCCTGTCTCCTTGAGCTAAAATAGCTGCGACTGTGCAACAAACTGCATAAAAAGTCTTGAATAATTGACATAGTAGTTCTTCTTTCATGTATCCTCCAAAATATTCACGGACAACTTCGAATAAATTAAGAATACTGTGCAATTTTCCAGGACTTGTCACAGATCTCAAATCTAAATTGGAAGTAATGTTATCGTTAATTTCTTTGGGCTCTAAAGTCATGTACTCCTTGAAATGCGCAAAAGCCATTTCAATAAACATTTTTAATTCAGTTTCAGTACACCCAGCCAAATATCTCATGATTAGTGATCTCCGAGTTTGCCCCCCACCTTTTTTCTCAGCCCCTAATTTAGATGTCATTTTACCGTACAATATTCTCAGTATTATAGGGATAACATGCTCTCTGTCTTCTGGTTGAATACTCTTAGCATCTTCAGTTATTTTAAATAGTGTTAGTTCATCTTTGAATTTTTTATCATCAACCAAGTTGTAAAGATTGTTCTTATATGCAACTATACTTTTGTTCTTATAATTTATAATACAATCTAATGCGTATTTTTGAAGACCAGAGTTCTTATGTTTCAAAAATTCCATGAAAAGCTCCCAAAATACAGGTTCTTTATGAAGAGCTCGTGGATTCTTAAACTGTGCTAATACTTGCATTATGTTTATTAGAGTTTTAAATACCATTTTTCCTGAAAACGTTTCTTTGATTTCATCACTTTCTTCATTTATTTCTTCCGAGGTTTCAGTTTCTTCATCTACTTCTTCTGATTTTTTTTCATCAACTTCCATTTCAGTATTAATACGAACTTCCACGTCAATTTTAAGAGCGTTCATGTTGTCATTTCTTCTGTATTCTTCTTCAATAAAATTTAAAAATAGTACAACTACATCACGATTCCTCGCTTCACATGCTTGAATACAATTTGTCATTACTTTTAAAATTAAATTTCTGTAGTTATAAAAATCCAGTCTTTCATCTATGCTATTGTATTCTGAATACAAATCTTGCAACAGGTCACAATTGGTATCAATTTCGTCGTCAAATCGGAACTGTTTTGGGTTTGACCTTGCATTGACAAAGGACAATCTGAGTGCTTTATAAAAAGTTGGCCAGAACTCGTCTACTGATAAAGCATTACCATATCCCGCGACGAATTCACCTACTGGTTCCCAGAGTAACTTGAAATTCATATATAAAACACCCAACATGTAATTTAACGCGAACAAACCGAATTCTCTTTCTTTAGCTAAAGCATACTGTGTAGTATTAAACGCCATCTTCTGCAACATGCTTATTTGCGTTCTATATTCTTGTATAGACGGATTAATCGATTCTACAGCAAAGCATTTGCTGAATATTGAAAACTTCTCTGTTTCGCCTCCAACATGGACAGTTTTGTTCAGTTCTTCGACGCTTTCGAATAATTTGTAAATATGTGTCGTCAATAGTCGTACCTAGAATCAATACCATTTGTCAATACCTAGGAGAAATTAATACAGAGTCATGGACAACTAAGTAACAATCGTAATACTTACAATATGAAATGGAGACGAAATGTTACTTTTCAGATATGAGTCAACCAATGACAAAAATGGAAAAGTGAGTCCATTCTCTTGCTCATATGCTGTTAAATATAAATCTACGAGATGCAAAGCTGCCAAATAATTGGGATCTGCAGCACAAGGTAGTATCACAGGGAGTAAAGCATCAATATTGCAAATTTCTTTCAATTTTCTGCAACTGGAAATGTGTACAGCACTTTCCAAAGCATTTGCCAAAATAAATAGGATCTTTCTAGAACGCTTTGATAAAGGTGTCGTATCATAATATAATTTGTTATCTCGTAACTGACTTTCCAGATTGTAGCTTGTCAGTAAGTCAAGTAATTTCGTAATGAGTTTATTCAATGATTTAACGCAGTAGTCAACATCAATTTTTTCAATGTGTGGTATACAGAACAGCATGTTTATCAATTTGGTGGGGTTTTCAACAATGTTGCCTATTTCGTCATTCAAGGCATTGGTAAAATGTTCCATAAATAGCGCTAGATTTGTTCCAAAATCTATAGGATATTTCACCCATTCAAACAGCCTTATGCCATTCTTTGATAAAGGTGATTTTGCTAAACATATTTTAGTCAACGTCTTCATTGCTTCTTCGTCGAAATTCGACTGGATCACAAAATTTATAAAAGGTGGTAAAATATGCATGTCAAATTGAGAATAATCAATGACATTTTGAACAAAGTTTATTAGAATTTTCCTATATGGCAGAGGTAACAAAACTTTTATTATTATTCCTGCATGTTCTTGAGCAAGGGAAATATTTGTCGAAAGGAGTAATAATGCGCCTATTTGAGAACAAACTTCCAATACACTTTCTGCAGTCTGCTCACTTATAACTTTGACTAAAAGGAGCACAAACTGTGGAGGATTTACTAAGTACTTTCCTTTTTGATGTTGAATAACTTGACCTGCTATTCTTAAAATGTATTCCAGTCCTTTATTATCATCTTCATCTTTAAGAATTTCTTCTACCACCTTCTGAATACAGTTCCAAAAGATTGTATACTCCTTAGGAGATATAGTTTGTAAACAGTCTTCAGCAGTTTGCGTAAGAACTTTGAAAAGGATTTCTTGATGTATTTTTTTGTCTTTTAAAACTTCAAACAGAACAGGAAGAAAAGTTTCAACACAACTGTGGAATTTCCCACTAACTCCTCTCAATATTTCAAAGATTAGGTGACCACATCCAGTTATAGCCTGAAAAATGAATACCATAATTTTTATATGAATTCTAATCCTTAAAGTACACTTGATTTGACAAAAGGGTATTTTTACACAGTGTTTGTAATAAAAATGTTATCACAATTTAGTTGTATCAAAGATATTCATGGAAGACCATAAAATACAATATTTATCTAAAAACTATGTCACATAACTAAAACAAAACCTAACCTAATTTTTTTAAAGTTTTTAGAGTAAGAAATAGTACTCACATCATTATTACTTAGCAAATAATTCAAAATAAGCTCTATAAACTTTTTCTTGTCCTTTATATCTCTAGCCACAAAGGCGAAGCTTTCAGCTGCAAAGTTGTTGATATACTGTGGCTGGGATTCACTTAACAATGGAATAATCCTTTTTAACACTGCAGCAATATCTCTTTTCAAATATGGTTTTAGGATTTTAAACAAAAATGCTAAACAGATTAATGTCCATTCCAATCTTTCTGCATCTTTTGTTTTTAATAGCTTAATAAGAATATCCAAGAATTTTGGAAAGTGAGGGTAGAAGTCATCTCTTAAATCTTTTGCTAGAGACACTAGAATCCTGGAATATAAAAATATATGAAAATATCTATGAGCAAACAGTTTTTGTGAGTTACAAAATATTTTTCTAATTTTCCTTTTTACGATGCCAAGTGATAGGGCGAAGAAGTTGTGTGCCTGGCGATAAGTCACATGCCTCTCCATAACAGTTGCAGTGCCACTCAGAGCTTTGAATCGCAAAGAAGAATGAATGGCACTGCCGACGGTCCCTGTCACCCTCCTGGGACATAAGTTGACAAATCCCATGTACATGTAGTTTTACCAATTTTTTTAATGACTTGCCTAGCAAAAGAACATATATATACAGAGTGTAATCTTTAAGTGTGCCTAGGAAATTATTCCATAAATATGAGAGAAATCAAAAAGCTTTAAACTGGTAATGAAAATATGTAACCTAATGAATAAATTAACATCAATAACTTTTAAAAATAAAACTAGAAATATCCAAAATTTTAACATTAAACACTCCCCATACTTTGAAATGTATAAAAATATAAAAACTAAATATAATATGTAATGAAATAATTAAAACTAAAGCCTCTCTACGAATGTCATATTAAATATGACGTTCATAGAGGCTTTAGTTTTCCTACTGTAAGAGGTAAGTTATTAAATTTGACTCACTTCTACAACAAATAGAAGTAGCTGGTACCTAACATAGATCAGATTGAATATAAGAAGAATCAAGTATATGTATAACATAACGCAACTTACTCCAATAAGGGTTGAAGACACAGTGAATCTTCCAAATTTAAATATTTCTCCAATATATCTAGAACTTCATCTTTTCTATGCACTAGTTGTGGCACTGTTACAACCCCAAAAATTTCTTTGCGAAACTTTTTAAAATTGTCAGTCAGATTTAGCGCAAACCATTTTTGTACAGCCACATTAAAATATGTTTCATTTTCATCAGGATGTTTTGTGTATGCATGTTCTATATGGTATAAAGCTCCATGACGAATATCAATCGCATTAATGCGTTCTGCAAATGGTATGAACTGCAATAAGGCAAATATTTAGGTGTTAAAAAAGAAATTTAGGACGAGATATATATTTTTTGAACATGCTAGTTAGTGGCAGAAAATATAGATTGCATTGTTTCATATGTTGACAATTAGTAAATACTGAGTTTATTAGTTACTTTCCTAACATCAGGAACAGGGTCAGACAGTACAGAAGGATCATTATTAAAACTATAGAAAAATTTCCAAAAATTTTAGCTTTTGCTATAAATTGTTTTAAATAATTATTTCAGATAAATAATAGATCTAAATGAAACTTTATTGTCAATACTCTTTAAACTCTCTGTTCATACCAATTATCCATAAATTAAAAATATTGATAACATCATTTAAAAAATATATTTTGTCCCATTTTCATTGCGGTCCCTTGGGTACAACCTAACCAGATATAATCTACAAAATATTGAAAAGAGGTTAGAGCAGTTCTTTAGGATTTTTCGATGAAATTCATCGTAACCTTAAAGTGATTTTAAACTTACTCGAAATGTATTCGTAGATTTGTGTTTTACAGGTTTGCTCTTCATTTCGATACTGTAAAGGCAACTTTTCTACATACAAAAAGTTTCTATTTTTTCAAGTGCTCGTAATTTTCTATATAATTTATTTTAAAAATAAACACAACACTAAACACCTATAACACGTGCACTTGACATCCTGTTCCTGTGTTGACATCTAAATGTCAATGTCGATTTTTTTTTAATTAAGAGTTTTGGCTTGGATACAAACACTTTTAGCCATGAATTCCTCATTTATTGTTTTCCATTGTGGTTCTACAGCATTGTGGGTCGCATTAGAATCGTATTCCAGAACGTGAATCAAGTATCGCCATGATCATCAATCAACGAAACATTGCTTGTGCATTAATTCCAGTCTTAAGCATCTCGTTTATTCTTAAATAGTATTCAGCACTGTACTAATTAAAAAGGCGCCAAAAAAGTCGCTAAATTTTCTTGTCGGTAAATAGAAACAAAATGTAGCTTTTGTTGTCAAAATGTCGGTTAATATCATAAAAGTTAAAAAATATATAGTTTCTAGCAGGACTAATAAAACTTTAGCCGAGAAATTCAACAACACATTTACTTTGCTAAATTTCACTTAGTTAAGTAGGTAAAGCAAGTCAAAGTTTTGTTGTGTTTGTACTTTGGACCGTTATAAATACAATTAGTCAAGATAGTTTGTACTTTGTATTTCAATATAAAAAATGAGTTTAGAATTTTAACATTTTTTCAAAAATATTTTGCAGTTTCCAGCTGCGCAGCTAGCAAGACATATAGTATAGTGACATTCAAAGACCTTGAAAAAAATCAACGAAAACAGAGCTGTCATATTTTTCTAATTTGTGGACTGTCAACAGGCGGTGTTAAGGTTAGCGATTTTTATAAATTAACAAAAAATATTTTAAAAATTTTTCGTTCAATTCTTACGAAGCACTTACTAATTAAGTCTCGATGCTCGCTAGATTTGTAAATGCGTTGCCGACCAGGTTATCCAATCGGATAACCCAATTTTATTTCCAAGGTATTTTTGTTTTGTTTTTTATTCTCTATACTGTTATCTATAATGACACGTCTACCTTTACATTTACTATCAAAGAACAAATAAAATTACGCGACAGCTAAATGTTATCGCTGTTTTTCATCACGTTATATTGTAATTTTATTAATTAATGCAAATATAGTTTTAGCACGGCAGCAAAAGTCGCACACCCTGTCCGACTTGCACATTGGCGCCAGAATGGACGTGCAAATATTGCCCGCGCTGACCGACAACTATATGTACCTGCTTATAGATAAAGCAACTAGTGAGGCCGCTGTAGTGGACCCAGTTATACCTTCCAATGTTATAAATGCTGCTAAAGAATTAGGAGTAAACATTACTAAAGTGCTGACTACACATCATCACTGGTAAGCAACATTATTTTAATGAGTACCTTACTTGTTTACAGTTGATTAAAATTGCCAATTAAGGGATTCCACATAATCAACATACATAAAGCAACCAGTACCTAAACATTGTATGTACTTACCAGGCCATGAAGGAAATAGGTGTTAATCATAATTTTTCGCTACTATGTGGTAATAATTCTCCCAATTGCAAGGACAATGACAAATTTAATCTGTGGTTGTGGACTAGCTTTTAAATACAAAATTTCTACTAAAACTTAAACTATTTAGTCTCTGAAATAGTTACAAACTGCACATTATTGATGTACTGTGAGAACTTAATGAGCGCACACTACGTTTTTTATCTTTTTATAAATATAGAAAGATTAGTTTCTACAATTGTTTTAGAACTTCAGCTAAATTACTAATTTATACTTCCTTTCGATCCATTTTAAACAAACAAGTCACTGATCCGACCATAGACCGTTTAGTGATGGACAATTGTAATTAATTAATCCATTTGTAGTGGGTACAAATGGATTAATTAATTGAATGAATTGATTTGTTCAATTGAGTAATACTAGCGATTTTCCTTACATAACCTATATAAGCGTATTTAAAATTTCAATTTAAATCCTTCAAATCCTTACTTTTAGATACTTGTTCGATTGCGTTGGAAATATTCGATTTAATAATCGATTACTAAACTTTAATAGACTAAACCAAATGTTTTTTTTCTAACAGCACTATGTAACCATAGGCAAGTCATAGATGTATAGATGAAAAATAACCTCACTTTTGGATTACCATTTTTCAAACACGATTTTACTATGCTATTCAAATGAATATTGTTGGAAAAAGTGATGAGTTATATTTACCAAATATATTTGGAAGATTTTGAAATATATGAAGAAGTGTTACTTATTCGATTTATTGAGTGGTTGCTTTAGAATTTTAACTAAACACTTTTGTTTACCTTTTGTTCAAAATGGATTGAAACAGACTGTAGTAGAAGTTCCATAATATTTTATAAACATTCTTCAGAGGGTGCTCACTGCCCATATATTTTAATAATACTTATGCGAAGGCACTGGACGCAACCAGAGGACATAAAACTGTCAGAATCTGGAAGATCCTACAGCTCTCTAATGATGTTGACCATGGCTTTGAATTATAATTAGTGGTGATCATAATAGATCAGTTTATGGTAGTGGTGATGAGAATCCCTGCCCCTGGGTATGGGCCCTGAATGAAGCCGCCCTAATAATAATAATATTTTTGTGACTTTGAATTTGTATGCGCAAGGTTGATAGGGAAGTCATTTACTGTACCTAAGATGTAATAGATGAGGAAATTCATTTAAGGTTGTGTGAACTGCATAGGGGTACAATAATACCCACGAGGCTCAATTTACATTGCTGTAGAATTAGATAGAAGTAATTTTATTGTAACCATAGTGTAACGAACTTTATGTCAATTGTGTACGGGAGTTCCCTCGCCGGGAGCATTCTTTATAACAGTTTAAATTCGAGCATTACAATGCACAACCTGTAATGATACAATTTGTAACATTCGGTCGCTCCCTTCAAATTCACTTAATATTTTATTTAAATTGAGCCAAAGGGCACGTTCCCATTATATCGTAAGGTCTTATTCAGAGTGACGGCGGACACGGGTGCGGGTGCGGGTGCGGCTGCGGGTGTGGGTGCGGCCGCGGGTGCGGGTGCGGGCGCGGGTGCGGGTGCGGGTGCGGGTGTGGGTGCGGGTGCGGGTGCGGATGCGGGTAAATCAAAAGTTCGTAGACGCTCATTGCGTTCACAGTGGCCGCGCGCGCCAGTCGGCGCCAGTCTCGAGACCTTTCACAGTGCTTGGTCTAGCATCTAGCGTCTGTTCGCTATTTCGACGTGTGGATCTACCCGCTCGTATCCGCTTCGGATACGAGCTGTTGAAAAAGAAGACGTCAAGACACGCGCGCCCGCACCCGCCGTCGCGCCCGCGCCTGCACACCTGAATGAGCCTAACGTTTTTTTTATCGTTGGACGAAAGTCGCGTCTAGCCTGTTCCCATATCACGACTATCTGTCGTGACTGTGTTGTGAACGTTTATTTTAACTTTGAGCGACTGGGAACGCGCACTAAGTTATATTATGAATTGGGCTAAAAATTAACTAACAAAGTCAAAGAAGAAGTTCTATAGGTAAAATAAATTTACCCTTGAAAACGCCACATTTACATTACATTAGCTACTGCTTGTTCACTACGCTGACTTCCCTGAGAAGAACGAGCAAGAAACTAGGGATTGCTCTTTTCAAATAAATTTATGTGCTATGGAATAGACTTTGAATCTAATTTGTGTGGAATTCTGCAGCTGTGTCGTCTTTCCATACATCTTTATCTAACACGTAATCTTCAATTTTGTAATATGACTTTTCAATCAAAATATTTTTAATATAGTTTTTAATCTTTGTTCCCCATAAAAGAGTCGTTTACCTTGGTTAAACGAAATCGTGGTACCATGAGTTTGGACTTAAGGTTAATATTATGGATATCTTCTTTCTTATTGAAATTATGTATATTTTTACGGGCATATAAAATATAATGTAAAACCCCATAAATGTTACTATGAAACAACATAACCCTGCCTTACAATTTTTGTAAAGTATTAACATTTATGAATAGCATGCTGCCCCCAAAGAACATGTTTTTTTTTCTTTATAGGTACCTACTGCATTTCTGTAATGTATTATAGTAAATGGGTTAAATGGATATGATGCTCCGAATCTGGAGTTCCACTCCCGTTCTCCATCCGACATCCATCCGAAACCACTGTCAAATAAGTAAGTAATACTCGTACGGATGTCGGAGTAGACCCCTGCTTGTGTCATTTAGCTCAAGCTAAAGCTGTCAGTTAACAGCAGGTGCGGGACCCGACCTGCGTCCAGGGTTGTCGTCTCGTCTATATTAATACATGGAATTACACCCACCGCGTTCCCGATCTGACACGCGGCTGACCCGTACCCGCTATCAGTGTATTTCACGCTTAATTGTCTAGATCACTGAATAATGAATTGCCTTGAAAAACTTTTAACTTTAAAATATTATTGTAGATAAGACCATTCAGACAAGGGATGCCGCAGATGTCCGCATATTTTTAAACCATTCAGACTACGGATGCCGCAGATGTCCGCATATTTTTAAATATCTGCTTCCGCATCCAACATTTGAATTAATCGATGCTGAGTTTTTGAGCAGGCCCCACTCAAAGCGCGTGGCTGAGTACTAGTGCTAATTAGCCAATCAGCAGCTTGATTTTGATTGCCTTTCCCGATCGGAAACTGCGCCTTTTTTGTGAGTCGAGGCGTATAATATTGCGGATGGGATCCTTACCCGATCGGATCGATATCGATTTAAATTAAAATAAGAGCCCAGGGATCGAGAACTGGCAGCGTGTATTGCAGGCAACGACCTGTTCATTTTCTAAACGCATTATTGAGCTTACGTTGAATTACGAAGTTTTTCATTCAAGATATTATAATATAGTAGATATTATCTTATAGGATAATAAGAGCTCTATTTGCAAAAGGCTGCAAACAGGTTGACTGCATGTATGCAGTTAATGCTTATAATCAACTTCATGCAGCCGAGACCACGACTGCATGAAGTTGATACCGACTTTACGCATTAACTGCATGCAGTCGAGGTCTCGGATAATGACTTCACGCATTAATTGCACGCAGTCGAAACCAACTTCATGCAGCCGAGATCGATTGCATGCAGACGGCTGCAAGAAGTTGATTAAGACGTCACGGATTAACTGCAAACATGCAATCAATCTATTTGCAGCTTTAAGGACGACTCACGGCTCAACTATACAAAAATTAAATGTTAATAAATCTCGTAATATTTCTATGCCTTCTATCTTTCATCTCTTTTGTGATAAAATTATGTAAAATTATTATCTTTTATTTATTTAAATCATTAATTTTAACGATAATTCAATGATCATTAAATCCACAACGATCCACATTTACTCACAATTTTTTATTCATAAATCCGCACCTGCAGATTTCAACTATGAAAAATTCGCATCCACGTCTGCAGATATTGTTATAACTACGGAACCCACATCTGCGGCATCCCTGGTTGAGACCAATCTCAAGTTTGTAACTGTGATCTGTTGTTTATTTTAAACTAATAGATCGACTTACATTAAATCTCAGATGAAGTTAGTCTTAGTTATTTATGTTTTTCTTGTTTTATTTAATATTTCAAAGTATGCATATATGTACGTGATTAATATGACCAATCTTGCCTTTTACTTCTTACATTTTCTTATTTATTTATTTTTTTTTACAAGGGATCACGCTGGAGGAAATGAAGACCTCAAAAAAATGCTTCCTAATGTAGAAGTGTATGGAGGAGACAACCGTATTGGAGGACTAACACACATGGTGGACCACGGCACAAAATTTAATGTAGGCAGCTTGAATGTACAGTGTCTATTCACACCGTGCCACACTTCAGGGCACATCTGTTACTTTGTATCGCCACCTGGAGAGGGAAAGGAACACGCTGTTTTCACTGGTATGTCCTAAAATTGTTGGTTGTCTCTATTACAACAATTCAGTAACACACCTTATGCCAATACAAGTTTTATTAACCACACCGTTCATTCTTAGGGTACACAGACCATTACCACACACTGGGATTACGCAATTATTTTATTGTTGCGCATTTTTTATTGGTTTAGTTTTTAACCATCCATATATTTTGACTTTACTTAATTGTTATTAATTTTCAATAATCATAATATTTTAAGTTATAATATTATGTTACGTGATTGATTACGTTATGTAATGCTACACTAAATTATTATATTGGGACTATATTATATTGGGATGGTCCTGTAAAAATAGCTATACTTATGTATGAAATAAATAAATAAATAAAAATAATATCATTTTCAGGTGACACGCTATTCCTGGGCGGATGTGGCCGTTTCTTCGAAGGCACACCAGCACAAATGTATAATGCACTTATAAACATTCTATCTCAACTACCCGAAGAGACTAAAGTGTACTGCGGTCACGAATATACCCTACAAAACTTAAAGTTCGCAGCATTCGTCGAGCCAAGTAACGTGAATATCATGAAGAAGATGAAATGGTCAATGGAACAGCGTGAAAAAGGATTACCGACTGTAAGTAATAAATTATTAATTTGCAATTATTACGTCCCATCTCTGGCTTAGCTATCACAGTAAATGCTCATGTGTCCCACAAAATGTTTTGCTCGTATTATTTTTTTTACAACCAGGGTTGTTGCGAATATCAGTATCCGCATCCACATTCGCGGATATTCGCGTCGTGACCTTACCTAAAGGGGCTGGGATTACGGCATGATGGAATAATTTAAAAACAGACACAGACTGCAAATCGAAAAATTAGCTCAGGGGGTCGATTTAGAACCTTACGATAATTCAGTTGTCGACCTTATTTCTTTTCAATTTTATTCACAACACCCAAATCGAACGTCAATTTGTCGTATTCAAACCGAACTATAATGACGTCACACTCGTACGATTACTGGAACTTCTCTACCGGGAAAGGCTACAAACGTTATTCGGAACACAGTTATCGAATGAAAGTTACCGAACGTCTTATTGTTTAAAGGAAGAATGTAATGTGGAAATCTTATTATTTTAAATAAAATCTGGATTTTGTTCAATTTTATTATTTATTTTAATGCTAGACTAACGAATTTCTATCTTTAGGCCCACCGACTAACCCCGTAAACACTGTTGGATAACGATATCTGGGGGTCTACTCTCGATCTCCGTCCGAAACAATTACTGTCAAATAAGTAATATTCGACAAAATTAAAAGACAAGTATCAAGTATGAAGCTTAATTCGCATCACGCGTCTTTGATTTGGTCAAGTATTGCTTATTTGGCAGTAATTGTTTCGGACGGAGATCGAGAGTAGACCCCCGTATCCGAATCCGAATCGAATGTTTAACTCGGAATGTTCTGAATAGCTCGGAAAGCACCCTTCGATTCGATACGATATCCAATCGAACGAATCGGTTAAAATATCGAAGAGTTCTGGATCGGGGTCCAGCAGCATTAGCATGAGCCCGAAGACAAAAGTTATCTCTTCTTCGAATTGTCAATTTTCTCATGAAAATCTCGGGAAATTTGACAGTTCGAAGAAGAGATAACTTTTGTCTTCGGGCTCATGTTAAGCCTGCAGCAGTCGTTCGTAAGGTGCTTACCAATTGCTGATTTTTTGACGATCGACACGTGTGATCAAACGAAACGAGTAAATTTGTAAGTAACAGACGATCGATACCGTATTTTCGTACATCGATACGTTTTGTGAATGATCAGAAAATGGAGCAACTACGTAGACATCTTTACCCTTGATAAAATTCCAATATGATTAAAATAGGCAGATTGATTGATTTTATGCAGGTTGATTTTTTGTTAATAATGCCATAGAGTGATTAAAACAATCAAAGCTGCACATTTTTCACTATTTTTTTAAATATATACAATCAGCATCCGCAACCGCATCCACTGATCTGAAAAACTGCATCAGCAACAACCCTGGAACTTGTCTTTACAGCATGTGCTAATAATTGTTTTGTTATTTGTATAATAGATACCGTCAACAATAGGCGAAGAGAAAATGTATAATCCATTCATGCGAGTGACGGAATCCACTGTAATGGAGCATGCTGGATTACCAGACCCTGTCTCCACAATGCAGTTAATTCGCAGCGAGAAAGATAACTTCCATTGATATTTCATATAACCATTCAAGTAGATTTAAGTGGTGTATTTGCTGAATATTTCACAAAATGGACGTATTGTTATTATTATCAGAACATTTCAACATGTATATATAAATCCAAACTAATCATTAATTAGAATTATCATATAATAAAATTAATGAATTAGAATTTACGGTGCTTCCTCTAAATATTTAAATTGAGGTCTTTATTACCAACACAGAGCATCAAGTGGATCACATTATTTATGCACTTAGTTTACTACAGTCAACAGCATGCATAGTTTCACAATCAATATATGATAAGAATGACCCAAAGCGTAAATGGCTGTGCTGTTAACTGCACCTTACAAAGTGAAAGAAGCAAAATCCCGAGTACATGTTACATCTGTACGTACAAGGTATATGTTAATCGTGACCTTGAAACTTCGGGAACAATCTCATCCGAGGTCAAACATTTTTTCTGTCATGCTTTAAGAAACATTTAATGTTCCAATTTTTTACTAAACAAGGTCCGTCACAACATGCTAAAAGATACTCAGTTGCCTGTGTTTTATGACTTTTGCGTGTATGATAAAAACAGTAAAATACAATTGTGAAAAAGCAATTGATAATTTGAAAATGGTCTTGGTGAAATGTCTTATTCTTATTTCATAGTTATTATAAATTAAGTAGTTATTAATATTAATAAACTTTTTGAACAAATTTTTTATTTTGCTTTTCAACTAGGTATCAAGATTAGGATCTTGGGTTGGGTCCACATTGAACTGGATCTTGATACCTGGGTCCATTGAACTATAAAAGATATAATTAAATTCGGTTGGTTGAAGTACACACGCTAGCACATTAAGCTACACATTGACATATCTTGTTCCATTGCAATGGAGGTGATTTTCGAACAAAAATGTGTAGTCTGATGTGCCGTTATCCGTACATAGCTCATACTAGTAAAGTACAAGCCAAGTTGGTTGGAATTACATGAAACCAAAACAGTATTTACAAAAGTTATTAATTTAATTTACGACTATTTACTTCAAAATAAATTATCCTAACTTAAAGCTGACTATCACAAGAGGCGATATTCTCTAACTGTCATTGTTCTTTCTTTATGTATGCGGACATCTCTTCTGCATATTTTTCTTTCGACCTTTCAAACATAGCCACATAGACCTGCAATAAAAATGGACAGTTTAATATACAATGCAACATTAACACATTTTGTGCAATATGACCAAATATTTTACAAGTAAAATTTCTGAACGACTGTAGTATATTACTATCGTTTTTCTTTTACACTATCCAAAAGTTTTTACACTTGTTACATAATGTTCTATAAACCTAAACTTTTCATGCAATCAAATAATCTATATAAGATATGAATCTATACGATATGACTCAAATGTTTTTTCTAGGAAAAACAAAGATTTTATGTATACAAAATAATATTACACCTCTAAAAAATAGGGTAATTTATTTCCATCATTTTCGTCAGACATGTTTTCGAATTAAATCTAGGGCTAGCACGACAGGGTGCGAGAGCGACTTAAAGCGCGAGATACTGCTATTGTAGCATACAGTAACCCGCGCTTTACGTCGCTCTCGCGCAAGTCGCGCTCTATCTAGGCGTGTTAGTCCTACAAGTGCAGAGTTATTGAAGTTTTCACTCTTTATTTTTCCTGTTAAGAGTTTGATAAGTATACGTCTATTCGGTGGGACCGTCTACATAGTGTGTGATTTAGTGTTGCCAATCCATAGGCCACTATCGATACCTAGGTAGCTTAGGTAGGTCTTATGCAATAGTATCGATACCATAAAATTATCAATACTATTGATAACTTGCAATACTATCGATAGTATTGACCCTGACTATTGCAAAAACAATCGATAGTATTGATTCTGAATATCGCATGAACAATCGATAGTATTGATTCTGAATATCGCATGAATTATCGATAGCATTGCCCTGTCGATAGTTCTGTATCACGCAAAAGTATCAGATACATTATAAACGCATAATAGAAAACGTTGTCTTGTGAAATTATATTGAAATTGTAATTCAATATTCAGCGGTGTTTTGGTAGTTTGGAAGTAAGTTTTAAGGCCCATTTAGATGGGGAGAGTTTCTCGCACGCTTCGAGACGAAAACTCGTAGGCGATTCTCGTAAGCAATAATCGCCATAAGCTTATCGTATCTTAATGTTTACATTCAGGCAAGAACTAAAATCTCGCCTACGATTATGTCATACGAGACTCATAAGCAACTTAATCGCCTCCTCGACTGTTTACACTGAGAAATATGTAGTAAGGAGATTCTTGCTTACGAGTTTTCGACTTGTCTAAACACGATCTCGTATGACATTTTTTCAAGTTCATACGATTATCGTACAAATCGGTTCGAACCGTTTTGAGTGCGAGAATTGCCATTCGAGTTCAGTGATTACTGCGGTATTGACTATGGATATATCGAAATGACGCACGGTGGATCGAAAATCGTCTGTAGAAGACATAGGATCTCGATGTCTTAAATGTTATTTTTTTTGCTGGAAATGACTTCTGCTGATCATTACTATTCTATAAAATGTCATATGAAGTAATTGTGTGCACAAATGGAAGAGTTATAAATTATAACTCTTCCATTTGTGCACACAATTACTTCTTCAATAATCAATAAAATCAATCAATCTTGTTGCAGGGCAGATTAGAAAGGAGAACCCTACTGTTGACAGTTTAATTTCAAATTTGAAAAAAGTTTTTTTGAAGTCACCAAAAAGAATTAAAATCTTTAAAGAAATTTGTCCGCATTTATCTTTACCTCCTGCACCTGTAATTACTAGATGGGGTACTTGGCTTCATGCAGCATTTTATTACGCTAAGCATTTTCATGAAATTAAGTCTGTATTGTCTGTGCTGAATAGTCAGGAGGCAAAGTCAATAGAAAATGCTTTACACATTTTTAATAATAATGACAACATAGAAGATGATTTAAATCGCATTTACGAAAATTTTGCAATAATACCAACAGCTTTGACAGCACTTCAGAAACCCGATCTTTCTCTAATGGAATCTTTTCAAATATTCGATACAGTAAGATTACATTTGAGATGGGCAAATTGCGAGAGCTTAGAAGATAAAATGGAAAAAATCATGGATAGAAATCCTGATTTGGACACTATTAGAAATGTAGCAGAAAACATTTCTTCTTGCAATAATGACGAGGAGGAGGAAGTATTAAAATTTGCCAACCTCACCTCAGTTGACGTAGAGCGTTCTTTTTCAATGTACAAATGGATTTTAGACGTTCGAAGAAATTCATTGAAGCCAGAAAATATTGAAAAGCTAATGGTTATATACTTTAATTCTCATAAAATTTATTCAGTAATATCGGGAGCGAACACTTCAAATCTTAGTGGTACTTTGAATGAATCGGACAAGGAAAATGATTCTGATGGGCAGTGTGAATAATGTATTAATTATTTGTATTGTGAATTAATGTAAACACTAATAAAAGTTTTATGCTAATTAACTTTGTTTTATTTGTCTTATCTATCTCTGAAGTTTTTATTATTATTTATGTGTCATATTGATCGCCACACATAAGAAATCCCGGGAAGGTCCATATTAATATCTACATTTCGATGCAAGTACATAAATAACTCTACCTAATTCCGACCTCTGGTTATAATTTTTATGAGAAAAAAATGTATGGAGCTGACATGAAAAATGAGGATATCTCTGGAATCGCAAGGTTGGCCGTTATATCCTTGCACATTGTTATAGTACTATTTATTTGTGAATTTGTGACGTACTTAATATCGCGGCATCACTTGCGATTTTTTTTTTAAAAATCTTCAAAATTTAAAAATAATAAAAAAATGTTTATGATACATTTTAATGCTAAAATATGGCTATACCAAGTGTAATTTACAATATTTTTTATGCTTAGACCAAAACATTTTAAGAAATCACAGAGTCGTATTACCTACTTATTTTAAATGACATGGTAATTATGAATTACGTACTATGTAATCTTGTCTAATGCCTCAAGTCCACATTAGCTAATGATTAATAAAACTTAATACCTATATACC